TAAACGGGCCTTAAGTAAACTAAGACATGAGCTTGCAAAATTCAATAGGTAATAACTATTTAATACGTACAACCAAAACAGCTGCAAACTCATAATTAGCTGAGGCAAGCCAGAACTGACTAAAAATTTGTTTGAATGAGATGAGTTCCTTAAGTAAGCTAAGCGTAAACTGACGTCAATTATTAACTCAGTTATTCCAGATTCTTTTTATTCGAAATTCTCATTGCTCGAATAATTTGAGAAACTATAAATATGTATTTTTTCGTGGTTCATGTTTTGAGTATGGAAAATTTGGGTTTTAATCAGGGACCGTAAAGGTTATAAGTTATACAGCTAAAAATTTATATTAATTATTATTTTTATTTTGTATTTAACAAATAATACTTACATACATACATCATGAGTTTTATTTTTCGTTTACAGAATAATTATTATCTGATGAGTTTTATTTTTCGTTCAAGAAATAAAAATAATTTTTATTTCTTATTCCTCATTTATTTATTTTTATTTCTCATTCAAATATTAAAAGTTATTTGGTAAGGGCTGAAGCTTTATTTGTATTTTTTTTTTTTTTGTTTGAGCGATTGAGTTTTACATTGTGAAAGAAAAATAACACTCACAAAAAAACTTTTATTTTTTGAATGAAAAATAAAACTCACCAGGTAGTTTTTATTCCTTGAAAAAAAAATTATATAAAACTCATCAGATAACCATTATTTTGTGAACGAAAAATAAAACAACAAATAACAATTATTTTGTGAACGTAAAATTAAAACTATTAAATAAAGGTTTATAGCGTGTATATTAAATTTCCCCAAAAAGTTAAGCAATTCCCCCATAAAGTTGAAATTCTACCAAAATAGGGAATTCTACCCCAATTGGCATCCCTGGTAAATATGTACGGTCGTGGACATTTATTTAACTGATAAGAACTTTACATCAGTGTTGCCATTTTGGCTCTTTTGAAGCTAGATTTAGCTCTTTATTTTTGTATTTAGCTCCAACCTCTTTTTTTTTGGCTCTTTTGAAAACTATCTAGCACTTTTTTGGTCCAGAATATTTTAATTGTATTTGGTAATATATTAAAATTAAAAATCTGTTATTTCAAGTGCTGACTAAAATTCATTTGGCTTTGGTGATCTCAGGCTATTTTCAATACCTTCATGTTATTCTTTTTCGATGAATACCTAGAAAACGACCATTCCTAATGCAAATGGCGTGTAAGCAAAGGGAAAACGGGCAAGTAAGTAGATTAGTTTCTACCATGTGCGCGTAAGTTTTCGTTGTAAAAGATGTTTTCAGCATTTATATTCATAGAATTCGTAATTTTTTTTATAAAATTTCGGAAAATGTAAAAGCAACTTTACGTCAAAAAATTAACAACTTAATAAAAAAATAGCTCTTCATTTTAGCTACTATTACTATTATTTAGCTCTTTTTTTCAACCGATTTAGCTCCAAACGAAATTATTTTTCTGGCAACACAGATACATACAAACCTAGGTGTATTAAAGTATAAAGTGAGAATTAAATCATATTCTACCGAATGACCACGATCAACGAATGCCTCCAAACATCTACATATGTATGTAAATGTGTAAATATGTATGAATGAATACTTGTATTAACCCAGTCGGATAATTTGCAGTGTTTTTCGACGTCATAAAATTTATGGACTACGTATGGGGAAAAATAATATGTATGAAATTAATTTGAGTAGGTTTCCACACACTAGGGTGGTCCAAACATGCATGTGAAAAAGCAAAGCCGGACTGTACTGCGAAAAAATTATACTCCTGTTTTTTACTTTGAAATCATATTTAGAGGTCGCTCAAAGCGCTCAAAGTTTTACATATTTTTTATCAGGAAAAAAACATTTTTCGTGGAAATGGTATAGAATTCTTGAAAGTCACTATTTTCCGATCAGAAAACTCTGTTTCTCTTCTCGCCCCAGTGGGAAAATAGGAATCCATTACCTTTTTCTACCAAGAAAATATTAACAACTACGGTTGAACGAAAAGATACATCGCAATGTAAGCGAGCGGAGGATGTGTAGCTCTGAAGCAACAAACAAAACAAAAAGTTTGAAAACTAACTCAAATATGTTTTTTGTTGACGTTATCTCAACAGCTGCTGTAGCCGAATGGATGCGTGTTCGACTGCCGTGTTGTTGGTCACGGGTTCAAAACCTGTGGCACGCATATTATTTTTAATTTTTATTTTTTTATTCTATTTATAGTTTCGCAAAGCGACATGCGACGCATTACTTTCGTATGACATCGCTTGCATCTTTTCGTGCGTAGGTCATAGGGGCTCTATCCATTGCTTTTTGCTTTTCTATAGATTGCCTTTTGCCACTGGGGTACACTAAGCGCACATGTGGTAGTATGCCCTCTAGGAAAAGCTTTAGTTACATACATTAGAGACATTTGAAAATCAAGCTTTAGATGTTTAATAATGATCCATTTTTTTGGATATATGTATGTATATATGTAGCTATGTACATACATATCGTTACCTTAATTCACAAAAGCCTTAACCAACACTTTTTTTGGGACCGCGTTTTTCACAGATTTTAGTTGCTTGTATTAAAATGCACCTTCAGTAAAAATTTTAAAGTGTTAGTACCAAAAAGAACGGAGTTACATGCCACTTTTTAAAAAGGTAAATTTATGCTCTGAAATCGTTAACCGACGTAAAAATTTGTGCAGAAAACGAAACTGCTTTCAGGCTCTTCAAAAACTATTATTTTTTCTTATTTTGGCATTTTTGTATAATATTTTCCAGAATGTCACTTTTTTAAAAGTAAGTAAAAGGATTGAATAAGTTTAGAAAAAGTATATTATCCGATAAGCATTGTACTGATTTTCAACATTAAATGCATGCTTTTGAAACATTTGCCTATCACTTTGAATCTCATTTATCACATAAGCTAATGTTGAAGTTTTTTCCACCTTCTTCATGACATCTTTCATGGTTTCATGACGGTTCTTCTTGGGAGGCAGGTTTTTGTTTAATCTTTCGATCAACAACTTTTTGGACTTCTTAACCGCAATACACTTGGGCAAGCAAAGCAACTACTGTTATTATCACGGCAAAATTAAAAAGTGACATTCAGGAAAATTCGGAGGGACAATGTTATAATAGAAAGCCACGCTTATGTTGATAAAATTTTCCAGGTAAAAATATAATAAAACAATAAAAGTTAAGGTGGTCATTCACAAACAGTAACGCCTTTTTTCATTGTTTAAACTTTTGTTCATGCTGATTATCGAATAACCTGAGCGGGGACAAATATTTTTATATGGAGTACGTAAAATATATCAAAGAAATACCGTTCGCAAAAGAAAACAAAACGGCTTACAGTAATAAAAAAACAACTTTGTTGGTGGCTTATTATTTGGATCGTTTAATTCTGTTTCTGACTTTTCGTTTCGCCACCATAAAAAAATTTAATAAGGCTCCCTTGGCCCTTAAAAACTTAACTTAGGGCGTGTGTGAACCGGTAACAAAGTTCTATGGGGAAAGCTGTTGAATAATATTTTTACTATGGTGCGACAGTTTTGCCAATCTGCTGTGTGAAATGAAATCTTTTTTGACAGCAGTAAATTTTTGATAACCGCAGATTTATGAGGAATAAAATATTATATTTTGAATTGAAATTAATATTTTAAGAAAACATCTACCATCGTTGATTGCAATTCATCAATTTAAGCTTTTATTAAACGAAAAATTACTCACATCAACAATCTTTGCGATTGTCAAAATTTTCTATGCATTTGTCAAACATTTCAGTAGCCTCATGAGCTACTGAAATTTTATTCACCTCATAGTTGTCAAGAATTTACTCGCCGCGAACTTTGTTACCGATTCACACACGCTCTTAGAAATCAAAAATCTATTATTTTCGAGTTTCTGAGTGAAGTTGCTTTTTTTTTGGTAACTATATACACGTGCAGCTCATTTGCCAGATATACCATTTTCAAGTCAAGTTTTGCATAACCGAGCCTTTAGGGCCTTTGTCAATTAAGGTAATTATATATAGGTGACAATTGACTCTGCGAAAATAAGCCCATAAAGTCAGTTTTTGTTGAATAGAAATTAGATAGTAGCCTGCTGAATTCCTTATGGATATGTTTATTGTTATTCTATCATATTCTACTATTTTTTTTTTGTCGGGTTAAAACAGTATTTATATTGCAGTAGAAATAATGTTATTATACAACTGACCTCGAAATTTGGGCAAATGGCAAAAGCTATTCACAATCTTTTCTGAACGCATAGAAAAGTTCAAAAATACACAACTCAAAACTCTGATCCGAAAATGTAATTGCTTGTGGATCGCAGAGATTCAACTCAGTTAATACAAAAACAGATATAACAGTAGTTTTCTAGTTGAAGAATATAAACATGAATAAAAAAAAATTGCATTAATTGGAGATAATAAATCTTACGAATTAATTTATGCGAAAAATCGATCTACATTTTTTTTTTTAATTGTGCACCTTTTGAAGAACGTGTGCGATATGTAAGTTCTGAGTCAATTAATTCACCAAGCAAGCTTTTCTCTGCAGGGCATGCACATAGTATGCACATACATATGTATGTACACAAGCATATGCATAGCTCATTTACTAACAGACTGTCACAAGTCAAAAAATGCGAATTTTCAAAAAACACGTTTAAAGTTTTCAATTGACACTATCCCCGCAGAAAATGAAGATTTGTATATTACAGAATCACACAGAACATACACAAGATTTTAGCATGCAACTTTTACACAATATGATGTAAGATATAGCGATTAATTCATTCAATTCATTATCTTAAAAATACCCTTTTCTGAATTGTGGCAGTCATTCAGTAAACGAGCGATATATTTTAAAAAGGCACTAAACAATCGTGGCCGATAATACCATTTGGAGAGCAATTCTCTCTTTTCCTACTACATACTTACATATGTACATATGTAAGGTATATGCAAAATAAAACTAATAAAATTTAAGATAATGTTTATGAGCATAGTGATTTTCTAAAGAGAATCGAAAAATATTCTTGTGATTGCATGAAACACACTTCATTCAGCATACGTACATTTGTTTGTATAGTACATTAATAGACAACAAAGATTTGAAAAAATATTCCTGTAATCTTCAAGCGAACAGTTGTAGAAGAGCACGCAAGTGGGCCGGACTTATAGGAAATAAGCATTTCTTTTGTATGTGCAACGAAACATAATTTAATCATTTTAAGTAGTTTAATAAATCATAGAAGATCTTGAGCTGATAAAAACAAGAGTTCACAATGATTGCGAAACGGATCCTATCAACACTACGACAAACACCCCAGCTCTACACCGCGGCTGTTAACACCAAAAAATTCGCAACCACAATAGAGCCACCAAAGTTCGATTGGCAAGATCCACTCAATTTGGAATCGCAACTAACCGAAGATGAGATCGCTATGCGTGACGCATTCCGTAGTTACTGCCAAGCAAGCTTGTTGCCGCGCATCACAGACGCCAATCGCAATGAGGTGTTCCACAAGGAAATTATGGAGGAAATTGGCAGCTTTGGTGCTTTGGGTTGCACTCTAAACGGCTATGGGTGTGCAGGTGTGTCAAATGTCGCTTATGGTTTATTGGCCAGAGAGATAGAACGTGTAGATTCAGCTTATCGCTCTGCCTTGAGCGTGCAAAGTTCTCTGGCGATGGGAGCTATTTTTGATTATGGCTCTGCTGTGCAAAAGGAAACCTATCTGCCTCGTATGGCTCAGGGCAAAATAATTGGTAAGTAGCAAACGATTTTTATTTATTTATTTTTTTTAATAAATGTATGCAGAGGGATATTATAGTTGTTCTTTTGTAAACTGATATTTAAAAATTTCTGATAAGAAGCTTCGGCGGATGTAGATCAAGATTATTGTTTAGAATGTACACAAGAAGACTTAGATCGCTAAAAATAACATGTGTACGCCATTGGCAGCTTAACTGCTTCAATATCATGTTGTGCTTCTTAACGTTATCCTAAAAATGGAGGTGTCAGAGGTTTTAGGTCGCTTTTTATGAGAAGTACTTTCATGGCAGAAATGCAAGATTAGATTACATTTTGAAAGTAGCTTCTGATTTCACAAAAACTAAAATATCTGCATTTGTTTTCGTTTACAGGAGCATTTGGTTTAACCGAACCAAATCACGGTAGTGATCCCGCCGGTATGGAAACCCGTGCGAAATATGATAGTGCCAGCAAATCATACATTCTGAATGGTTCCAAAACGTGGATCACAAATTCGCCGATAGCAGATGTTATCATTGTCTGGGCCAAGGGCGAAGATGGCAAAGTGCGTGGTTTCATAGTGGATCGATCACAATCTGGCAAGGGCTTATCTACACCCAAAATCGAAGGTAAATTCTCTTTGCGTGCCTCTACCACTGGCATGATCTTGATGGACGACTTACGTGTGCCAGAAGGAAATCTTTTACCAAATGTGGAGGGTTTTAAGGGTCCCTTCGGTTGCTTGAACAATGCACGCTATGGCATTGCATGGGGTGCTCTAGGAGCCGCCGAGGCATGCTTGGGAATAGCGCGGCAGTATACGTTGGATCGGAAGCAGTTTAAACGGCCGTTGGCCGCTAATCAATTGATACAAAAGAAATTTGCAGATGCGCTGACAGATATTGCGTTAGGTTTGCAAGCATGCTTGCAGGTAGGTCGTCTGAAAGATCGGAAACTGCACACTCCTGAAATGATTTCACTCATAAAACGAAATAATTCGGGTAAAGCGCTAGATATTGCTCGGAGTATGCGTGATGTTTTGGGCGGAAATGGAGTGTCCGATGAATACCATGTTATACGGCATTGCATGAATTTGGAAGCGGTTAACACGTATGAAGGCACTCACGACATCCATGCGCTTATTCTTGGACGCGCTATTACAGGCATAGCAGCGTTTGCCAATTGAAATACATAATAATAATTGAAATACATGTTATACATATTGTGCTGATGCTTGAGTTAGAATATTTTCTGAAAGCTGTTGTGTTGGTATTTAAATGCATTTATTTATACGGTCGTGTATTTTATAAAATAAGAGGAAAGACAGTAATATTAAGAAAAATAATTAGAGCAATTAATAAAATTAGAACCATAGGGTACAACATGTTTTAGACATTTTTTTTATCACATGAGATATTTTATAGGGATTCTTATGTATTGAACCGAATGCCTAGTTTTTATGATAAATGCCTTATGTACTCACCTCAGCTTCATATTGCTCTGCCCGCCGCACAGCATGTCCCAGTTCTGTATTAGTTTCAGCTAAAAGCTTTTTTAATTTGGAATGTGATAGTTTTATTTCACCTATTTCTTTATTTCGTTCCGATAGCTCTTGTTGAAGCGCACGCACTTCAACATCATTTGCCTGCATTGGACGCCCCTTGCGATCGGAACGCTCTTGGTAGTCGCGAACTTCAGCGCGTAATTTTTTGTTGTCGCGTTCCAATGCAAGTTTTTCGGTTTCGAGCCGTTCGCGTTTACCCCATTCAGAAGCATTTTCGGCTTGTAGCCGTTCCAACTGCGCAACAATTATTCAAAATTAGTTTATTTTAACGATATTTTAGTTATACTTCCAAAAATATACCTCTGTACGCAGCTCAGCCAAGCGTCTTTCAAGATTTTCGCGGGACGCAGTTTCTTCTTGCAACGAATTATTTATTATACGCATTTCGGCACGGTGTTGTTCCTGTAATGTGAGTAATTCACGTACAGCTTCCTGCAAAACGATTGGCTATTTAATTAAGGAATTTAATTTTATTTAATTTAATTAGTCATCACCTGCTTAGCAAGACGCATCTCTTCTTGACGTTCACGTACTTCCTGTAGTTCTAATGTTAACTTTTCGATTGTCTTATGTAAAATATTTTTTTCTCTGCAAATTTAAATAATGATTAAAAGTTAAGGATAACAAATAATATAAATCAATACATAAGGTCCTATACGACACTTTTTGAAAATGTGTTTCTACATATTCTGTTTATTTTATTCCAAGTACAACCCCATACTAAAATGCATAGCTTAAGCATCTTTAAAACAGCAATGTAGGGCTTCTATGTTAATTTCAAAAGTTATTTGCTTATGTAAAATTTCAAAATTTGTCAATAGGGCGTTTGCGTTGATGGTGGCGATATGTAGCTATAAAACAAACTCACTCTCTTTCTGCTTGCACCGTTTTCTTCGCTTCATCTAAACGTAATTGAAGCATCGAGATTTTTTGCAGTAAATAATCTTCATCGAAATCGTCTTTAGATAGCTGCTGAATCAGACGTTTTTCTTCGGCCAATACATCATCTAAATCGTTACCTTAGTAGATATACAATATTAAAGATTTTCATTTAAATACTCCACAAAAACCTACCCATGTCAGGAACACTTTTCGGTACGGCGCCTTTCAGCACATATTCCTCAATATCCAAATCTTTCATATCATTGCAAATGGCCTTGGTAACCTTAAAAAATAAACACATATACATATATATATACTTAAGTAAAATTATTTGAATATAGTATACATAAGTATATTCAAAATTACCAATCCATCTTCGCTGTTTACATTTTTTAAACCATCAGACGATATATCTGGCGAGCAGTTAGCATCACGTCCATTCGCCTCAGCATCTTCAGAAACATCGCACATACTAAAATGGAAACATGCATTTTAAATAAATATGGGCATAGGTACATTTGTATATATGTACATACTTATGTATGTTAATGTACACAATATTTAAAAAAAACAATCGAATTTTATTTTTCTTACCCTGCTTTATGAAATTGATCGGCGTGCTTCATCATAAGTGTATGAACCTTTTCCATTTCCTTTTTAAGTTGGGAGATCTGCATCTCGAGATCATTTTTCTCTCGCTTGTATGAATTCGCTTCCTTCATAGACATATCAAGGTTGGCGCGCAACTGCTTGGCTTCTTCTCGAGCTTTATTACGTTCGGTGCGTACCTGTATCGAAGAGTCTCATATTATTTGCACTGTACAAATTTTATATCGATTAAACAAATATTTGTTTATAAACGACGTATCGTGGCTATGGTAAGCGGTAAAGTATTTGCAAACCTCGTACAGGAAACCTACCTTACTCCATTTTTCGCGCCAATTGGCTGTGCAATCAGACCACCATTTCATAGTCTTTTCCATTTGGGCAGCTCGGGCCCTTGCTTCGTCCAGCTCGCGTTGCCTTTGAGCCTGAAAGGATTAACATATGAATATGTGAATAGAACTGGAATGCATGCATTGCTAAAATACAGAATAGCTTTTTACCTCGCGCGCTTCCCATTCTGTAGCATCGCCGAATCTTGGAGTTTCTGCGGCCCCACTTCGACGTGGTATTGGAGCAACACTTTGTGACATTTGTGAATTAACCAGTCCTCAGCCTAGTCCGGTTGGAGGTCAGAATAAGGTATGTTCTTATTTGCAACACAAAAACTATTTTTGGAGTCCTTTTAACAAAATAAGCACAATTTTTTACAGTCCTGCAATCCTCAGTTTTTGCAAAACTATCGTATTTGTTTTCGTTTGACTTTCGTAGTTTTCTTGTGGAGTATTGTGACGGTTTCTCATTGCACGATTCTTCGTAGCTGTTATCTTTATTCTGTTTTGCTGCGTTTTCCAAATTTTTTGCATTGCCTCTCATGGCATTTTAAATTATTGTGCTGCCATGTTGGCACAATATACTTTTATCGAAATCTTTTCGTACCTAAATATTCATAAATTAATAAAATCATTAAATAACGAAGCAAACATTGGTTCGTCAGATTCGCTCCAATATGCGATTCGTTTACCTTTAAAATTTCAGTGTAGCAGATAGTCAAACTATGTACCCTCAAATAGCAGGCAAGATGTTCAATTTTACGAATGAACAAATTGAAATTGGGTTCTTTAGGATTTTCTCAAGGGAATGAGCAGTTTCACCTTTGATTTTAAGGAGAACTAATTTAAAAAGTACTTGCACGTCTTATTGCGCCCAAATTCACAAATAGAATACTTGTATTACTGCATTACGATGGCAGCACGATTGGCAATTACACTTCAGTGGCAAAAATGGCGTATTTCCTGCTTTTGACATTACGACGTCAACGTGCTTCGATCTTTTTCCGCTTTGAGCTCTGAAGATGGCGGTCGGTAAAAATAAAGGTCTCTCCAAAGGAGGTAAAAAAGGTGGCAAGAAGAAGGTTGTGGATCCCTTCTCGCGCAAAGATTGGTATGATGTAAAAGCGCCAAACATGTTCGTGACCCGCCAGATCGGTAAAACTCTAGTAAACCGCACCCAGGGCCAGAAAATCGCCTCTGACTACTTGAAGGGTCGTGTATTCGAAGTATCGCTGGCCGATTTGCAGAACGACAACGATTCTGATCGCTCGTTCCGCAAGTTCCGCTTGATTGCTGAGGATGTTCAGGATCGCAATGTGCTCTGCAACTTCCACGGTATGGATTTGACCACGGATAAGTACAGGTGAGAAATTAAATGCGTTTAAAGTGGCTATTGATTATCACCAAAGTGAAGAAGCGAGATGTGTTTGTATGTGCATATGTTCATGCATCTCAAAGAATCGCTATAAAGATTGAGGTTAAATATTTTATTTTTTACGGACGTATAATTCAGACGAAACATCGCACAAATTTGTGTTTTGTCTCTACGATGCTCCAAGAACAAAATTAACTGCAAACGGCACCCTGAGGAACTGCTCTCTACGTTCCCATTTAGGGATTAGTTTGTAGACATTTTCAGTAATAAGCCCAAAAGGTGGTATTTTTTATCACCCTATTGCGAGTGTTGACTAGTAGTAGATAAACGACTAATGGATAATCGCTTTTCCATTGTATTGTGGATGTTCTCGTTCAATAAGCGACTGAATAGTATTACGTCGCTCATTCTTCTACAACTGGTTGTTGGTACACTCATTTATTGAACGAGTAAACGACATTGAAAATACCAAGGATATTCGACTAAAGAATCGATTATCTACTACTAGTTGACTCTCGCATTAGGGATATTTGTATTCATCTAGTGCATTTGTAAAGGTACAGGCAACCATCAGTACTTTTATACTTTTTTTATTTTAGGTCCATGGTCAAGAAATGGCAAACCCTTATCGAAGCGATCGTTGAAGCAAAGACTACTGACGGTTACATGTTACGTGTCTTCTGCATTGGCTTCACCGCCAAGGACCAGCAATCACAACGTAAAACTTGCTATGCTCAACAATCGCAAGTGCGTAATATCCGCTCCAAGATGACTGAAATCATCAGCAACGATGTAACCAGCTCAGACTTAAAGCAGTTGGTAAACAAGCTTGCTCTCGACTCCATTGCTAAGGATATAGAGAAGAAATGCCAACGGATCTACCCATTGCACGATGTTTACATACGCAAAGTTAAGGTCTTGAAAAAGCCACGATTTGATCTGTCCAAATTGTTGGAATTGCATGGTGATGGTGGTGGCAAAGGCACTGAAGCTGTCGTATCGGCAGAGGGTGCTGTTGTAGAAAGACCCGAGGGATACGAACCACCTGTACAGGAGTCTGTTTAAACAAATATTGAATTCAACCACATTCATTTTTTTTAATGTAGAAGATACAAAGGAAAGAAAACATGAACAAAACTCGCGGATGGGAGTTTTGCATAAAAAATAATATTGGCTTATATTTATTTGCTTATGTTGCAGTGATGGAAGGGAAGGCATTTCGTATATTCTTTTATCTTTTTCAGTTGCAGTCTACTACCCTACGCAGAGAGAACTGGATGAAATCACAATTGAGTTGCAAAGGTAAAATCAATTTTCTTTATACCTACATATGTATATGAAACAGATTTTCAAGTTTGTGCTAAATTAAATGATGTTCTCATTATTTTTCGTCGCTGATTTTGATAAACTGATGTCAAATGCTTGCTGATATAGCGCAAACTAGAAATAAATGCATTGTTCTGGTACAGTTAGTAATTGTTACTTCTTCTTTGTAGTGACTCTTGGGTTCTCGTTTGGTTATGCTGTGTTAAAAATTAAGGTGAATAATATTTAAAAATATGTGATGCTTTGTTTTTCTTGTGAAACTCGTGATGTACATCTTTTATTATTTGCTACTCTTGAAAGCACTTTGATGACATTAAATTCTGATTCGGTTCCACAAGAAATACAATGGAAATGGCATTCTAAATACTTTAATCATCTATACTTATAATTTTTTTTTTTTTCACAGATAGGATTTGTTGACAACTCATTTCGGTATTTAACTAAGCCTGTGGATTTTTATGAGTTTTCAAGGTTTGTATTAATATATTATTTTGCAGATTTTCCTTATATTTTCTCATGATGTATTCGAATTATTTGCTACTCTTGAAAAAACATTGATGTAAACTAAACTCTGATAAAAAAAACGTGAACTGCAATTTACTTTTAAAAGCTGAAAGAATACTGAAGTATTTCATTTGTTTACAGATAACAATCACATCGGGATAAATAAGAATTAGTGTCTGATAATGACCATATGGCGATAGGTAAGCAAGTGTCAAAACCTCTAACAATTACCAATATTTGATGATAACTTTTCTGTAACTTGAATCTACATATGTATATGTGAGTTTTACAAAATTAGATAGTAGAACTGATTTCAAGTGTATGTAATATATTTAGGGTTTCCCAATACATTAGTATTAATTACGCTTTTCTTTTGTTTGCAGGTTTGGATAAATTAATATGATGTCACCATGCTACTGGATGTTTTTTAAGGTAAGTAACTTATTTTATGCTAAATATTTATACTTATACTTTGACCCAGCTCGCTTTGATGTATAGTGAAGATAAATGTCCCAATAACCAACGCAAATTTAAATTTCTGAAATAATCCCTATTTCCTCTCAGACATAATACTAATCCCTTACGTTTTGTAATGTTAATAATGTCTATCGTCGTTTAAAGTACAAAACCGCGTATCAACAAAATGCAAAACCGCGTATGTGAGGTTGCATAAATTATTTTTTAGAGAGTAAAAACACTCGTATTTCAAAATGGTTCTCTTTTTTATAAAGCAATCGCATTTCTGGCTAGTATATTTCAGGTCGAATGAATAAGGATTGAGCCAAGAGCTTGTGTGAGCAAATCCAGTTTTTGGCAGCCAATGTCAGTTACGCGGTTTTGCGGAATGACGATACGTGGTTTTGTACTTTAAACGACGATATAATCTTGAAAAATATGAATAGAAAATAAAGCATCGCATAAATGCTATGTACATATGTATGATTGTATAATATCATGCGGCATACAATAAATTAAATACCATGCTTATTTGTTGCAGATTAGTGGATGCAAATTTGACAACAGGATATGGAAATGAAGGTGAATATATATATATTTTTTTTTTAACTTTTCATAAATGTAATTCTATGATGAAAACTTTTACCCAGCTCGCTTCGATATACAATGAAGAGAACTTGTTCCATTATCCAACGCAAATAATTTGCTGATGAATTAAACAAGTTTCATTATTGCTAAACTATATCAATCTTAACCATAATTTTAATGCATACATATTTCTGTTCTTTTTTTTTAGATTTCTACAAAGTGAGGTCACTGCGGAATTTTAGAAGTAAGTAGATATTAATTTTTTAACTGCATATGTAACACGTTTTTAATGATGATATATTTTCGGATTCCCCATCAT